AACTATAGTTTATAAAATATCTAATCATATTGGTGACTCAGGTGACAGAACTATGGACCATGGCAGTGGGCAGTCTCACGTTCTTCTTCTTTTCTTCGTGTCCTCTTTGCGTCAGGATATGGGTATGGAACATGGGTATCTCCAAAGCCAAAGCCGCTTGGAGGCGGTCGAAAACGACCATTGGATAGCTAGATTGAAATTGGAAATTTATTGGAGCGAAGATGAGCGAAGGCTGCTCTGTGTGCCTCCCGAGCTGTCGAATTTTCGAGTGCTCGGGCAAGCTGGGATGCCATCAAGCCAATCCTGTTAAGAATCTGCGGGTATCATGCGGAAGAACAATTAATTCGAACGAGATGGTGTGCCGTAAGCTGTGTAAGTTGTGTTTAATTTAACGAGTCGATGTTCAACCAAAATCCACTTGGCAGAGTCTGTGTGGCAGGTTCTTTGTGTGTGTTCATTCGAGATATTTTACATCAGTCTGGGTGAGATGTGAGAGTGGGCGAACAATGAGAGCACATGCCCTCTATCAGGGTCGGGCCTGAACTCATACCGCGATGGCCAGGACAACGAATGTGTATGCAACATTGAAATGATGAACTGATCGCTCCTTCTAATGCAAAGGAATGTCAAAAACACCATCTAGTTAGCATGTGCACCTACCTGTCTCCCTGCCTTCCAATAGGTAAGGAAGCATTCCTTTCTACATTTTGGGGCCTTAACAAGCCCATGGCCGGGCCGCCTGAAGCAGTTTCTTCAGGCCTTGAAAGCGGATGGCTTTTTCGGGAGAAAAGGACCGAACGAAGAAGCGCTCATCAGAGGCCAGTAACGGCCGAGTCATCTTGCTATCCCTTCAAGATGTCTTAAAAAGAGAGACAACAAAAAACATGTTTGGCAGCTTCTTGCTCCTAGTAGCAATGCCAGGAGCTGCTAGTAGCGATGCCCTTAGGCCCCATGTCTTGGAGTCGTTTAGCACTTTAACCTGCAAGTGGCTGACAAATCCCAGCAAGGCGGGCGTATTGCCTAGTCCCAGCAACCAACGCATCTTCGATGGCACTTGTTCACGCGCACGAGACGGTTTTCTCGGCAGCGCAGTGCTGGTGACGCGTCGCTGTCACAAGTTCCACACAAGTACAGCGAGGGCGCCATTTCAAGAAAATCAAATACAAGCATTTGCTCTCCTCTGCCTTTCAAATTCAGACTGGACAGACCTCCTATTGGAGTGTCAAAATATCTCAAGACTAAGACATGGTTATGTTGAAAGATGAGGACACACTTGCTTGCTTCAGAAAAAAGAATTGGAGCAAGGGGCCTGGACCCTAGCCACTTAAGGCGGCATGCATGACCATGGCAACTGGAGAAAAGAATCACCCTGGGTCAGTGTCGACACGAAGACAAGAACGGTTGGGTGTTGAAAGAACCAAGGGCCCCTGTCAGTCTATGCCCTTTCATGTTCCTCTGGTCGACCAGAATCTTCTTCTTTTGGGTGATCAGTGATCACCTAAGGTAAATGATGAAGTGAAGCTAATACCTAGAATCCACTAGAATTCACCCACCAACTGCACACTTCAAACTGATCCTCTGTCCAACAACCATGGCCAATACTCCTTGCCGACAACCAAACGGTCCCGAAGCACTTCCGGAACTCCGGAAGTTCACTTCTATGCGGGATGTCGCCTTGACCTAAACTATTTCCCAGACACTCCATGGGACTGCCACAAATGCCGATCAGTTGGGGTTATGCCATATATGGCAGTCCCTGGGTGTTGATTTTATAACCAAAAGATAACTACTTTGATTTTTGCTTGAAAGCATTTCTTACAATTGTCAGGAACTACAGCAGTATGTATAGTCACTTGAAGTAAGTGTGAATCTGAGCAAACATAGCACCAATCAGGTTATTGGAACCAGTGCGCTTCATAGTATCAGGTTACAAAAGCGTTCATAGCCTCACTGAGCCTTGAAGGAACTCAACATGAGTTGAAACAGCTGGGCTTGGACTCCCAAACTAATCTATATAGGGATTCAATTCCAAGTTTTCTACAAGGACATGCTTCGACATGTTCTAGGTGTTTGGTCCATTCCATGGTCATGGTCCGGCTCGGCCACCGAAAATCCACAAAAATGCTGCCCGCGAAGAGCTGCTCACGACCTGCGAAAGCGGTGGGATCGGTCTGAGCCCAAGATGGATGTTTATGATCAAATATGGTTGTGGGGAATCAATGATGTAGTATCAAAGATGTCATCGAATATAGTTTTGTGGAAATGGCAACTCCTTGATGGTTTCAGGTATGTGAACAACGACGACAGGGGGTGCCACATACGAGAGCGCCTGTTCTGTCTACACAATATATATATATATTATGCACCTCGGTTTCTATTTGGTTGACGAGAATAGCGACGTGAACAGCGATGTGAATTATGTTGAGTAATTATACATTGATGCATTAAATACGTTTAAACTTGTTTAAACTAAACTATGATACGAGCATCGAACATGGTTCTCTACCCTGGACCGCCAACAACTGCCTACTCCAAAGGTTGTTGTTTCACCTTCTAAACACCATCGAAACGGAGCTAGTTGGAGCTCTATGCTGGTTCGGAAAGCTTCCAGGTGCTGACTGCACGAAGTGGTGCTGATGGAAGGGAACTCCCAAGTCAGAAGGAAAACTGGTCTTTGCATCATTCTTGTTTGGGTCTTCTTTGTTTGAGTGTTCAATGGTCACTTCATCAGTGAGGGTCAGTTAGGTTCCTAAAAGTTCCGGCCAAATAGGCAAGCCAACCGCTCTAATCATTTATCAACTGATGTCCCGCCAACAAAAAGAAGAACTACACCAGTTGTCAACAAACCTCTCTCTGGTTGCCTTCACACCGTCCAGGCCTGCTGAACAATAAGGTCATTCAAACGCAGCTTCTCTCGCATGAATTCCCTCCTTTCCTCGTTCCACGGGGCACGGAGAACGTGATGAGGTATGTGCTAATCATGACTAGAAAGTCTGTAAACATGTATACCCTGGTAGTCAAAGACTGTAAAAAGAATGGTCTTTAGGTAACCTGAAAAGGAATTTCCTTTACTTCAGTCGGTCAAACTATAATTAGTCTTTGGACTTCTGGGGTATATAAACAAACTCATTTCATGTAACTCGATTTCTCCATCCAAAGCGTATCTAATTATACAGGTCATTTTTTCAACACTGGAGACCGTGCAAAGGCGCTACCAGCTGGGAGACCCACCAAGAAGGGCGAAAAAA